AGGCAGGCCCGGCCCGCCGCACGTCTTTGTTCAGTGTGTGGTGGCGCGTGGCCGAGGGCGGTGCCCCTCCGGGGTGCAGGGCAGCGCGCCCTCTCTGGGGCGCACGGGCGCCGCTGTTAGTGCCCTGCGGCCCCCACCTGCTTCCCAGCCGCTGCCAGAGCGGCGCGGCTCCCGCAGGCAGGCCCGGCCCGCCGCACGTCTTTGTTCAGTGTCCACCTTCTGAACTCTGCTGGACAGCTTTATCGCGTATCTCTCTGCCAAGCACCGCCTCAGGCCTTTGTGGAACGAAGCAAGGTGTGATCGAAGGGGAAAGGTGCTGCTCTGCCGCTGTCAGCGCAGCTCCGCGCCGCCTGGGCCGCTTGGGAGCCACAGAGGTGTCGTGGGGGACCCGTGTGGGGACGGGACGTTGTGTAGTGCTGCTTGTCACGGAGGCGTTGCTTCCGGTGTGCTTACCGTGGCCTCTGCAGTCTTACATGACACGTGCTGACTCGGGTTTGAAATGTTAAGAAACGTCTGTTTCCACTTCAGAGGAGGCTTGTTGTTGTCCTCTGGGAGGCCAGCGCTGCTTTGCATGGCTCGGTAAACTCCGTGTGACACTGCTCGGACCGACCTGATTTAAGAAGGCTGCAGGCCTCAGCCCGGGGTAGGGGTGTTGCAGGTGTGGGCGTTACGGCCGCTCCTGCGGCAGCTGTGCTGGGCGGCCGGGGCTGCGCGCAGGGCTTTCCGGTCCACCCGTGATTGCCCCAGGGCGTGCTTCAGTGAACAGTGAACAAAAGCAAGCGGTGCAGATGTCTGCCCTGTGCCCAGAGCCTCAGCTATCAGTCTGCTAGGAAATCCCTTCGGTAGTTTGGGGAAAAAGTGTCGTGGTGATGCGTGAAGTCGGCAGGTGTTTCACTGACCAGTTTGCCGCTGTAGATAAGTGGGCGGAGAAGCCAGCCTTCGGGACACCTTTGGAAGAACACCTGAAGCGGAGCGGCCGGGAGATCGCGCTTCCCATTGAGGCCTGCGTCATGCTGCTGCTGGAGACCGGCATGAAGGAGGAGGTACGGGGCACCTCGGGGCCCACACGGGTCTCTCTGCCCTTTCTCTGCCCAGCCCACCCGCACTGCACCGCACTGTTGTAAAGCGCGGTGGTTTTATGAGCAGCATTTCCTAGTGAGAGCCTGTGCGTTGTGCCTTCCGGTGTGTATGTGCAGTAGGCTTCACAGAACAATATCCATATTACTGGCAGTCTCTGACCTTCCATATCGCATTTTAAGCTCCGATTTATAACAATGGATTTCATGATGCACTAACAGATCAGAGCCTCCATGAGCTTCAGATTTTAACAGTGAGCATCTGTAGCACAAATCATACATTTGCATAGTGCTATGCAAAATTTTTGAAGAGTGTTCATTTATATATTTTGTGACCCCCTTAACCAAAAAATTTCCCATTAATCAAGCTTCCTCTTGTATAGATATATATAAAGAAGTCAGCACACAGGGAGTTCATGCTAGGGCAGAGCCAGAATCAAACTGCAGGCCTTTTTTTTTCCCCCCTCTTAAAAGTTGTTGATTAAAATATAATGTACTTCAAGGAAAGTATACACACTATAAGGGAACAGCTGGATAAATTCTCTCACAAACTGAACTCACCATCTAATCAATCAGTACTCGAATTAAGGAGTACCACAGAAGCTCTCACTCTGGGCCAGTTTAGCTCCAAGAGACATTCGGCAAGGTCTCAGACAGTTACGACAATTGGGACAGAAGGGGCTACACTGGCCTATAAGTAGGTGGAGACCAGTTTCGGGAGTTTATCAGGCTCCAGATGTTCAGAGATGAGCATACGGAAAAGGATTAAATAAAGACAATGCAGATACGGTTTGTGGGGAACCCAGGAAGATCAGAACTCTTGGACTTAGGCAAAGACTTCTCTGGATCGCCCGCATTTATTGAGTTCTTAACAGTTTAGGGGAGTGCAGGACGTGGAGGGCACATCATCCAGCCCAAAGTGTCCTAGAAGTTGAGAAACTGCGCTGATGTCGAGAAACCATGCCCGAGGATTGAGAAATGATGTGGATTAACTTCGCTGGAAACGAGATGTCCAACTCCTGACTCAGCATCCTTCATACTCCTGCCTGTCTTGGTTGACCCTTTCTCATCACTTTTTCTCTTTTTATCCTGGAACATTTAGAGCAAGTAACTGTGAGCCTGCTCTAACAGTTTTGCTTAAGATGTCAATATTTTTTTAAAAATTTCCAGATTTCAAAAAATCTCTGGCAGTCAGTGTTACAGAAGTGTAAACCTTGTGGAAGTAAAAATGCTTTTTGATAATTGCGTTCTAACAGGTGTGGTACACTTTAGTAAGGCGACAGGGCAAGAGCTAGCATTCATTACAGACGGACTGCTAGGTTCATCAGGCACTGTGCTCTAGAGGTCTGAGCCTGGGCCTCTCTCCCTCCCCCTAGACAGCGCGGTGGAGAGTGTGACCCCTGACGCGGGTGGAGATGTGCTAAGTCCCAGCAGACTCTGCTGTTTCACAAAAGATTCGCAGTTTACCCTCGACGTTCATGGGTTTTCATTGTCTCTAGGGCCTTTTCCGAATTGGGGCTGGTGCATCCAAGTTAAAGAAGCTGAAAGCTGCCTTAGACTGCTCCACGTCTCACTTGGATGAGTTCTATTCTGACCCCCATGCTGTGGCAGGTACGTCCAGAGGGATTAACGCAGCCTGAACCACCTCAGAACCATGGGCCAGTCCACTCTCAGATGGCGAGTTAGAAGTCCAATTTTAGTTAAAAGTTTAATTGATAAAATGGACTTTTTTCTGAAAATTCCTTAGTGTATACCCATTTCTGGTTTTGGGTTCGGTTTGGTGTTTTGTCTCCCCACCACACTGCATTAAGATGAAGGTAGTGCATAGTGCAGATACTTGTATTTCTCCCCTGCTTTCACACCTACAGTCCTACTCCACCCGAAGAAACTGTTAAGGGGATGGCTTTAAGGCTTTAAAGCTATTTTCCGTTGCTCTCTATTTTTGCAAGGGAGAGTGAATGTCTTTCGGTGAGCTTTCCATCCCTAACCATGCCTGCCAGGTGATGATTTGTTTAGTACAGTTTAGAAGATTGTAGTTGAGATAACTTCACACTGTGAAGCTATATACCCGGAGAGGCACAGCCTCGCCCCATTTCATACTCGGCGTATTCATGGTTGCAGGTGCTTTGAAGTCCTATTTACGGGAATTGCCTGAACCTCTGATGACGTTTAACCTGTATGAAGAATGGACACAAGTTGCAAGGTGAGTTTAAATAGTTCTAGAAGCTAAAAGCAACAGTGAAATATTGTGTACTTTGGGGTAAGCTGTTTTATCCTCAAAGATAGGCGTTTACAATATTTAGAATGAAAATATTGTTACTGTTATTAGTGTAAAACCGTCATGGCCTGTGCGTTAGCTTAAATTCCTGTGATACAGAGGTTTGGAGATACAGTGGCAGCCACGTTAGTGGGCTGGTTCCGCTCAGATCCGCTTTACGCTGAAGAAAGCCCGTGGCTGGAGACAAGCGTGACGTAACCGAGTGGCAGTGTGGCTGTCAAGCTGCTTGCAGGCTAGCTGTGCGGTAAAATACGAGGGCGTTACCAGCAATGTTACTGTCCAGTGAGTATTCACTGTGTGCTCGTCTTTAGACCCCTAACCTCCTGTCGTCCTTAACTAAGAGGCAGATACCACCCTCGTTTCATAGGTAAGGAAACGGGCACGGGAAGGAGCGGTCAGGTCAGCAGCACCTGATGGGCAGAGCGAGCTGTAGACCCAGGCTTGTCGGACGCAGGGACTGTGCCGCATGCTTCGTCTCACCTCGGCTCCATCCTCGTGCCCTGTCCCTCCTGGTCCCGACTCACTTCGCTCCTGGAGATCTAAGTCCTCGGCCCTCAGGGCAGAAGAGCAAGCTTCACTCCGCTCCCATCTGCAGACGCTGCCGCATTCCTGTCAGGCAGGTCTCGGTGCGCCGCGGGCCATTTCTCCTTGTAGTTCTAGTCGCTTCCGTAGGCTGGAGTTCATCCTGGGCCGAGTTCTTCTGTGTGCTTGTGGAAGGAGAGACTGCTGGCAGGTGGTGAGAGTTTCAAATTCGGAGACAAGTTCTTAGTCGTGGCACCCTTGGAACACAGCCTGGGCCCAACTGGGGCTTGAAGTAAATGATAGCAACAGTCGTTACACCAAGAAGGAGAGGGTTGTCGAACTTCTTTCATTGGGTAGCTTCCTTCATTTCCACCTGGCCTCTGCTCCTCTCAAGTTCCAAAATGCCTCGCTGACAGTAAAAGCAGGTGTTACAATTTTAATTTAAACTGTCCCCCCAGAGCCTCCTGTGTTCATAGGTGCGAGGTTCAGAAGGTGATCGGATCGCGTGGGCTCCCGCTGTATCAGTGGATTAACACTGCGACGGGCCGTAATTTCAGCGTCTCGCTGCTGGGCAGCTTGAACCACGGCGGCACATGTATGACTGCACCACGGTGTGCGGCTCCGTTGGCTGCTTGCTGTGCCCCAGGAAGGAACAGCGGCGAGAATGGGGGGAAAAGTAGACAAGAGACAAAAACTGGGATCAGGTGGAGGTCCTCTGTCTCTGAACAGAGAAGGGGAACTGGAGAGCGTTTATTTATACTTTCCACCTGGCTGCTCAGCGGTCAGTTCACAAGCTACAGCTGCCTGTTTATGCGCTTCGAGGAGCTCCCGTGCTCTCAGCCTGGCCTCGTCCTGCACACACAATTACTTTCCAGCTTCGGCCGCTCCCAACATCTCTCTCCTCTGCTTTGTAAATGACGGGCGATCAGCTGGAAAGGCTATGCTTGGGGAATACAGTCCCAGCATCCCTAACAGAAGTCAGCGGCCCGTCTAGTTGGCAAAGTGTCCGAAGTTGTTAGTGGATTTGAACCCTTTACACGTAACATCTCACATGACAGTGCTTATTTAATACATTTGTGGTGATGCATTTCTGCTGGATGTTAAGACCAAGTTAAGGTGACATCCATATTAATCCTGTTTTCCTGTCCATCAAGGTCAGTTAAGTCTCCCCACGGTTCCTTTTTTT